AGGAATCAGTATGCATAACCAGATACGGTGCAAAATAAGATGACATATAGGAATACGTAGATCCTGGATCAAATAGAATTGAAGCATCTCTACTACAAACCAAAACAGTACTTGTGATAACTGCATCGGAAGCCTCAGCCTCAGGTCTGGATGGAAGAGCATAACATTGGGGTTGGGCCCCACCGCTCTGAACTATATCTCTAGGACGGCCTGCTACTAGCTTGCCTCCGCTTCTAGCGGCCTAAGATCCACCTCTAATACCTCTACCTCTACCTCTAGCACCTCTACCCCCACCTCTAGCTAGCTGGGCGGGCGGTGGAACACTGGGTGCCTGAGCTATGGCACGGGAACCCTAGTACTGAGAACTGCTCAGTGCTCTAGGGCAATATCTAGCAATATACCTCATGGTGCCACAAGTAAATCAAGCCCTCGGCTGCTAGGACTGATGACCTTGAAAACTCTGAAGCGGCAGTACACTAATAGGAGATGGTGCTGCACTGTAGGACTGCTGATCAAAATACTACATATTAGAACCACGGCCACCTGAAGCACCATGAGAAACCTAAAGTGCTAACTGAAAAGGCCTAAGAGGATGGCCTCTACCATACTAATCCCTACCTCCAAATGAGGCGCCACTGAATCTGCCTGAATTATGAGGACTCTTGTCAGACCCCTGACCACCTCCCTACGATAGAACCATCTCAATTCTCCTGGCCACATTGGCCACCTCCTAAAAGAAAATCTCACTCCCTGTCTCCTTAGCCATCTGAAGTTGAATAGGCTGAATGAGTCCCTCAATGAACCTCCTCACTCTCTCTATCTCAGTAGGAAGTATAGGAAGAGCATGACAGGCCAAATCAATAAACCTGGTCTCGTACTGAGTAACAGTCATAGAACCTTGCTGAAGACGCTCAAACTGCGTATGATAGATCTCCCTCTAAGTGACAGGAAGAAACTTCTCCAAAAACAGCTGAGAAAACTGATCTCAAGTCAAAGCTGGTGACCCAATTGGTCTAGCCAAACAATAATCCCTCCACCAAGTCTTGGCAGATCCAGATAAGCGAAAAGTAGCAAAGTCGACCCCATTGGTCTCCACTATCCCCATATTCCTAAGAACCTTATGACAGTTGTCCAAATAATTCTGGGGATCCTCAGAAGATGCACCGCTGAAAGTGGTAGTGAAGATCTTGGTGAACCTGTCTAATCTCCATAAGGCATTGGCAGACATAGCTGCTCCATCACCGGTCTGAGCTACCATACCCAGTTGAACTGCTCCAACTGGCTGAGCTGCTGGAGTCTAAAACTGGGGAGCTATCTGCTCCGAAGTACGAGTAGTAGGAGTCTGTGCTCCTCTTCCAACCTGAGAGATGGCTGGTGCTACAGGAAGCAAGCCTGCTCGGGTGACACTCTCCATAAGGCCCACTAGACAAACCAGAGCATCCTAGAGTACAGGGGTAGCAATGAACCCCTCTGGGACCTGAGCTGGGCCCATCGGAACTACCTGGGTCGGAACCTCATCATCAAACTCAACCTGAGGCTCCGCCACTGGTGCTGCTGCTCTGGGTTGTGATCTGCCCCTACCTCAGCCTCTAGCACGACCTTGGCATCACCCTCTACCCCTCGTGAGAGCTGCTGCTAAGGGCTCAGGCTGGTGATCTGTGGATGAGGAAACGCGTGTTCTCACCATCTGCGAAAGAACAGAGTAGAAATTCAATTAGCATTGAGAAACCAAACCGCACGACATGAAAGAATAGATGCAAAGTTTTTCCTAACTCTATAGCCTCTAGGGGATAAATATAGACGTCTTCGTACCGATCCCTCAAACTCTACTAGAGCTATGATACCAACTTGTCATGACCTGGATTTTCCACCCTCGGGAGTCATGATAGCGCCTACTCGTGGAAGCTAGACAAGCTGAATATTATAAAATTATTACCCTTTTCATTAAATATGTTCAACAATTTAAAATAATAAGTGATGAAACAGCGAAATAAATTAAATAACCGAAAATGCGGAAGACGAACTTAATATTTCAACCAAACATTGCTACATTATTTGAAGTGCAATACTACCCAGAATTTGGTGTCACAAGTCACGGATTGTCTAAGAATACTACAAATAAGGTCTGAATGAAATACATAAGTTTGTCTCTGAATAAGTAAAAACAGAAAGAGAAAAGATAGGAGGAGACGCTAAGACCCGCGGACGCCTGCAGGACTACCTTGGGTCACCTGAATGGACTGAAGACAACACCCTCACTGCGGTCCAAACGCTCCGGTATCAGTATCTGCACACAGTACAGAGTGTAGTATCAGCACAACTGACCCCATGTGTTGATAATTGCATAGCCTAACCTCGGCGAAGTAGTGACGAGGCTAGGACCAAACTACCAAATAAACCTGTACAGTTAAATCATATACATCGAAAATAAAAGTAGATAATTACAGCTAAAGTTGGGCGGGGGAAACATGTTGCGAGGACTAATAGATAACAACAGAATAACAGTAGAAAAATGTAAGGAATGCCACAAATCAATTACCAGCAAAAGATAAGGAAATAAGGAAAAGAAGTACACATGTAATACCGTTGCAGGCGTACAACCCAATCCCATTTCATATGGTATCGTTGCAGGCGTACAACCCGCTCCCATTTCACATATTACCATTGCAGGCATGCAACCCCCTCCAATTTCACATATTACCGTTGCAGGCGTGCAACCCGCTCCCATTTCACATATTACCGTTGCAGGCGTGCAACCCGCTCCCATTTCATATATTACCTTTGCAGGCGTGCAACCCGCTCCCATTTCATTTATCAACACCAATCATAAAAGAATCCCGGGAAGGGAACAATAATATTACAACAACATCCTGTCAAGGGAATAATAATATCACAACAACATCCCGGCAAGGGAACAATAATATAATAATAACATTCCGACAAGCGAACAATAATATCACAACAACATCCCGTCAAGGGAACAATATTAAAATTCTCATATGAAGCACGAATAAACCACAACGGAGTCATAAAAATTACAATACAAGACTCACGGGCATGTTTGACACCCACGTATAGATACTCGTCACCATGCATATACGTCATACTCCACAGTTAACATATAGCAAATAAGACACAACTCCTAATCCCTCAAGCTAAGGTTAGACCAAACAATTATCTCGATGCCACGAACACAATTCAAGCCTCAACTATCGCTTTACCTCTTGATTCCACCACCAATTCACTCGTATCTAGCCACAAGTTACTTAACTATATCAATAAATGCTAAATGAATCAATTCCAATACATGAAAATAGGTTTTCTAAAGTTTTTCCCAAAAATTCAAAAATTGCCTCCGGGACCACATGGTCAAAATCTGAGGTTCGAACCAAAACCTGATTACCCATTCCCCCATGAACCCAAATATATAATTTGTTTTGAAATCGGACCTCAAATCGAGGTCCAAATCCCCAAAATTTAAAAAACGTAGGTTCTACCCAAGACACCTAATTTCCCCCATGAAAACCTTTGATTTTGAGTTGAAATCATGAGAAAAGATGTTAAACATTGATGAAACCAAGTTAGAAATGTCTTACAATCGATTTGGAAGAGTACTTGTCTTTAAAAAATCGCCCAAGAGTGTTTTGGTTTTGAAAGGGTTCGGAAAATAGTTGAAATGCGTCTAAGTTATGATTTTGCAGGTTGCAGGTATCACAATTACGACTAGGGTTCGCAATTACGAACCCCTTAGACTGCTACTCTCGCATTTGCGACTGATGTTCGCATTTGCGATGGAATTGTCGCATTTGCGACACTGAAGGATTTCAGACCACTTTGCAAATGTGATTGGCCTTTCGCATTTGCAACATTGCTTATGCGATGACTACGTCGCATTTGCGACCCCAAGGCAAACCAGGTCTTTTCACATTTGCGGCGATTTTCTCGCATTTGCGAAGCCTACAGACCTGCAACATACCAGCTAAAAACCTGCAATATCCTAAGTTAAATTTCACCCGAGCCCTCAGGGCTCCAAACCAAACATGCACACCAACCTAAGAACATCATACGAACTTGCTCGTGCAACTAAATCATGAAAATAACATGTAAAACTATGAAGTAAACCTCAAAACTCATCATTTTCATCAAGAACACTTTAAAGTTCATAACTCTTCGACCGGAGTTCCAAATCACGTCAAATAAATTTTATTTTCACCAAATTTCATAGTTATCATTTAATACTATAACAAGTATGTACCGGGCTCCAGAACCAAAATACGGGCCCGATGCTAATGGTTTCAAATAGTAATTCTCTTCTTTATTTCATAACTAATTCAGCAATATAATTTCTTTCAAAAATTGATTTCTAAGGCTTGGGACCTCGCAATTCATTTCCAGGCACACGTCCAAGTCCCATATTTTATTGCAGACCTCGCGGTGTCAAAACACAGATCCAGGTCCGTTTGCTCAAAATATTGACCAAAGTCAACCATAATTAGATTTTAACTCTAGAAATTTCTATTTCTCATATTTTCACATAAAAGGCTTTCCGGATATAGGTCCGGACTAAGCACACAAATCTAGGTGAGGTAAAAAGGAGGTTTTAAGGCATCGAAATACAGGATTTGTTTCTAAAACAAGTGATCACAGTTTTGAATTTTTATGTGTTTCATTGTAAAATCACAGAGAAAGTAAAATCAACTTTAAGAATGAAATCACAGAGAAAGTAGAATCAGCTTTAAGAATTCAGTTGCCTTATGTCTAGATCCTTCTAATTCTTTTTTTAAGATTTTGTTGCCTCGCTGCTTGATTTCTTTTAAATTCAAACTCATAGTGACACAAACTCATGGCTGAATATATCATGATTGATAAGGTGATTGGTCAAAGTGGAGCTTCTAATTCAAATGTGATAGAACAGTCTCAATCAGTTCATGATTGATAAAGTGATTGTTTGACTTGTTAATATATATTCTCATAGATTTTACCAAATTTGGAAAATGAACCCCGCGATGATGATGTGTAGAATCTTAGATAGTTGTGAGTTAAAACTTTGGTAAGTTAATTATTCAACTTATATAACACATAGTATGTTTACAAATATTACTTGACTTAATATTTTTTCTTTTTATGTTTAATAGGTGTAACCATGCCTCGACTTTGTGGTCTCAAAGCTATCTCACATGTTTGGAGTCACTATGAAAGGATTGAAGAAGATGATGATGGATGGTGGAAAGTAAGATGTAATCATTGTCATCTTGTTTATGTTACAATGCACGACAAACTGGTACAAAGTCCTTAATGAGGCATGTTGAGCATTGTTTGGAGCGCAATTTGGTAAAGCCTATAAGGATTGAGTAGTTGTCGTCTTGTTAATTTGAATTTGAACTATTAGTACTATGTTTGGACTTTGGACTTGTTAATCTTAAGGTTGCTACTACTTTGTATTGTTATTAATGTGCTTGAACTATTAGTTGTGTTTGATTATATTGATGTCATCCCTACTCTTTCAAACAATTGGACAACTGTTTGTAGTGTTGAATTATTAGTTGCAGATTTATGGCTTTTGTCTTAGCAGATTCTATTGTTTTATGTTGCAAATTTATGGCTTAGCAGCAACAACTTTTGTCTTTTGCAAAATAGCTTTTGTCTTTTGTAATTTACATTGCAAAACAGATTTTAATGTTGAACTATTAGTTGCAAAATAGCTTTTGTCTTTATACCTTTCTCAATTACAACAACGAGTTTTAATAAAGTTGTTTTGTAAAACTGTTTTAGCTCGGTATAAGAAATATTGCAAAATAGTTTTATATCGATATAAAGCTGTTTTAGTTGTGGCCAAAAACTATTTTAGTTGTTTTATCTTATCGGACAAAGCAATAACCGAACCGATAATGATCGATAACCGATAACTAAAATCTTATTAGTTTGGTTATCGATTTATCATATTTGTAAACTGATAACTAATATGCTAAACCGATAATATTCATAACCGAACCGAACCGACCGATGCCAACCCCTAGATATGGTCACCGGAGTTGGGCTTTTCCGAGCAGATCCAGCATTTTGGATCTAGATATAATTGGGAAAAAAATGAAAAGGAAAGAATGAGAATCAATAATGAAGAGTGGTCGCTGGTGTTATCCTTTAGCATTCGTAGTTCGCCGATGGGGTTTTTGGTGGTCATCGATGATGGTCACTGGTATAAAAAAAAATAGAGAGAGAGTAAAGAAAAAAATATCCCCCATTTATTATAGCATGAGCAACTATTACAGATCTTGGGTGGATTAATTAATGGAATATGCTGACTTGGCTGCTGATATGGATAAAATATTATAGGGTTCATTTAACGACCCGACCGGTCATTTGAGTATATACATTCTATTTAGCTCTTTGAAGTCTTGAGCAGCATCATATGATGCATTATGACTTGTGTGAATCGTCGGTTTTAGTTTTTGGATTATTTAGAATTGATTTGGAAGAATGAATTTCATGATTAAAGCTTTAGAGTTTGAAGAGTTGACCAAGTTTGACTCTTTAGTATGTGACCTTAGATTGGCATTTCGATGGTCCCGTTAGACCCGGATGGTGATTTTGGGCTAGGGCGTATGCCCGAATTCGCATGTGGATATTTCTAAAAGGTTTCGGTGCGAATTGACGGAAGTTAGAAGTTTGAAGGTTTTGAAAGTTTATAAGTTTGACGGAAAGTTGACTTTGAGGATATTGGATTTGGATTATGGTTCTGGAAATTGGAATAGCTTTGTTATGTCATTTGATACTTGTGTGCAAAATTTGAGTTCATATATATTTCGGCGCGAGTTTTGGAAGTTGAAAGTTCATAGTTTGATTTGAGGTGCGATTCGTCGTTTCGACATTGTTATGCATGATTGGAGGCCTCGAGTAAGTCCATGTTATGTTATTGGACTTGTTAATATATTTGGACGGGCTTCTGAGGGGCTCAGGTGAGTTTCAGAGCATTTTGGAAATTTTAGCTAAGGTTGGTTTGGTAGAGGTTCTGGTGTGACCGCACCTGCGGAGCTATGGGCACAGGTGCGGAGCCGCAAAAGCGGCAGTGTCATCACAGAAGCGTGAAGAGGGAGCTAGGCGTGAGGATCACAGGTGTGGGTGCTTGGGTGCACGTGCGCGACCGCAAATGCGGACCAATGTACGCAGGACCGCGATCGCACAAGCGGGTACCAGATCGCAGAAGCGGTGCTTGCTGGTTCAGGGATTTCTTCGTAGAAGAAAAATTTGTTCCACAGAAGCGGAGGTCGCAGATGCGAAATTGTGACCGCATATGCGGAAACTACTAGGCAGAAGCTATAAAAAACTGAGGTTTTGGTTCTTTTATCATATTTTCAGATGTGGGACTCGGATTGAGGCGACTTTTGAAGTAATTGTCATCACAAGGATTGGGGTAAGTGTTATACACTTGGTTTTAATTTTATTTCATGAATCTATCTTAATTTTTTGGCAATTGGTTAATGAATTTTAAGGAGAAATTGGGGGGGGGGGTTGTCTAAAACATCATAAAGTGAATTTTCGAGTTTTGAGCATCGATTCGGAGTCAGAGTTGAGTGAAACTAGTATGGTTGGACTCGTAATCGAATGTGTTGCCAGATTTTATAAGTTTTGTCAGTTTTCGAGGCGCGGGGCTAGGTGTGACTTTTGGCCGATTTTGGATTTTGATTAAGGATTCGATCTTTATCATTTGGAATTATTTTCTTAGGCATTAATTGATGTATTTGAGTTGCTTTTGGCTAGTTTTGAGCCGTTCAAAAGTCAGTACGCACGAGGTGGCATTTTGGAGCATCATTTATCTTACTCGGTATTGAATTTGGCTTGTTCGAGGTAAGTAACACTTCTAAACTTGGTGCTGAGGGTATGAAAACCCAAATTTGCTTGTTATGTAATTGATGTTGAGGTGACGCGCATGCTAGGTGATAGGCGTATGGGTGTGTGGGCATGCACCGTGTAAATTGTGATTTAGTCGATTCCATGTAATTGTGTAACTACTTCTCTGAATATTTTCATTGTACTCTATATGTTAGAATACCTGAGTTGTAATTTATGCTGGAAATCATACTTAGGCATATGTTGGTATTATTGGGACCTACTGAGGTTATTTCTGTAGTTTATATGTTCAAATTAAAGTTTCGTACTTAATCATATTTATTTGTTACATATCTTATCTCAGTCTCTGTTGCTATTTATTGATGCATCATATCATTATTTTTGGGCTAGTTTCATGACATTGTGAGCCCAAGAAACTGGAGAGTTTGATGACTAAGTGAGGCCGATGGCTTGATTGTGAGTGATATTTATGGGATCGGGCTGCAAGCCATAACATATTTTATTAATTTATGCCTGGATCTGGCTTATTATAGCGCTTGGGCTGAAGGAGCCCCTCTGAAGTCTTTACACACCCCCAGTGAGCGCAGTTGATCTATATTGAGGGATGGATCTTCCCTAGGCATGGATCTTGCCCGATTCATTTATAATTGGGGATGGATCTTCTCCTGGGCTGGATTGGCCTTATACAGTACTGAGTGACTAACTATCAGTTGATATATATATATATATATATATATATATATATATATATATATAT